CCTCAGTATTGAGACAACTGCCCATCAGATCCAGGGACTCTTACAGATCTCTGAGAATCTGGGGGAAAACTGGATCCTCTCCTAGAAAAATGTTTATGTATCGTGTATGGAATTTTGCATGTAAAATTTTTTCTCTATAACAAAATCACAGCCTTATGGACTCTGTTGGAAACCTGATACCTTAGGGCTTCACCCTTGGCTTTACTGTGGCATTGCCCAACTTGTCATTTTTACCTCTGAACTTACACAGAATAAAATTGTTTTAGTAAATGCATGCACAAATTCCCCTTGTCACATCTAGTACAAAAGTCGTGGAACCATTGCTTCTCTTAGGATTAGGGAAAAACTCGATCATATGAAGCAGTCTTTCTTACGTTGTACAGTTTATTAGGAGTATACCTAGTTTTGTAGAGGGAGTTGGTCAGTGGTGCGCTTATGGGCTTGTGAGCATAAACCCAAACTGGCATTTAAATTCTTTGACATATATGTATGTGTTGGTTATCTATTGCTACATATCAAGATACTCTAAAAGTTAGCAGCTTCAAACACGAGTAAACATTTATCATCTCACATAGTTTCTGTGGGTCAGGTATTCAGAAGCAGCCTAGCTGATTATTCTCTCCATTCCCCCTCAAGGCCATCCTTGGTTGGTTTGTACCGTGGCAGCATAAGAAGGGTGGTAATGGGCATTGGTTTCTAGACATCTAGGAAGTCAGTGAACTCTCAGCTCTGTAGTTCTTTCTAAAACACTTGTATTTGTGTATATCCCATATAGACTGTTTGAAAATTGGAAAATAAAATAACTATGCCTTTACTTCTTAACATAAATTCACTGATCTGTTTTAGTGTAGTAACCCTTTTAGATAATAAAAGTAGGCTTCTAGAAATCACAGTGAATTATGTAGGGGCTAGATCTGAGTGAAATTAAATTCTTTTCTCCCTTTGCTAGGAAATCTTTTCTGCTGCTCCCTACCGCCCATAAAAGTCATCATTCTCTTCCTCTGCTCAGCTCTCCCACTTGTTAGCCCTACGATGTTAGGCATATTACTTAATCTTTTTGTGCTTTCATTTTGCCATTTGCAAAATGGGGGCAATAATTGTACCTGTTTCTTGGAGTTGCTGTGTGTGCTAAATGACATGCCCACAATGTGTACTTACTATGATGTCCAGCACATTGATAATCACTCAGATGCTAATTGCTGCCGCTGTTATTTATTATGGCGGTGATGGTGGTTATTGAAGTTACACTAAACTATTTTTAGATGTCTCTTTTACCTTTCCATTTATTAATCAAGTACTGTAAGCCAGGCACTATGCTAAGCACTTCATAGGCCTTATTTTATAAATAGATGGTAGTATTGCCATTTTACAGATGAGGAAATTGAGGGGTAGAGAGATTAAGTAACTTGTTCCAAGACCACACAGCTGTTAAGTTGTACGACTAGATCTCATACTCAATAAATGTTTATGGAATTGGATTAGATTTAAGAAAGATTGTCAGTGTGAATATCAGAAGAATATTTCTCAAGACTAAAAACAAGAAACTGTACGTACACTCAGTCTTCAGTGATTCATAGTTGGATTGAATGTTTTGTAATGAAAAATCTTAGCCCACCCTGTAATCATAATGCCCAGCGGTTTGACTTTTACCAGTAAGAATGTAAAGGGAGGAGAATGCAGAAGAAGCAAAATAAGCTTTGCTGCTTTTAGAGTTACTGTTTAAATGCTTGAGAAGAAAAGTTTAAAGAAGTTAACATAAACATCCATATCAAGTGACAATTTATCAGAATTTTAAATTAATGAGCATTGTTTTTATAGAAGAGACCCATATTAATTCAATTATGTAAAATAAGGTTACAGAATTGACAGTGGGGACACAATAAGCTTGTACCAAGAACTTACAAAATGCAGTTTTGTTCAGCTAAGTGGTCTGTTGGAGCTACCATTGAATTTGTAAACCTTCGCTTTTTTTTTTTTTTTTTTTTTTTTTAATCTTTACGCAGCCCCTTAATTCTTCGAATCCTTTTTAAGCAACCTTTTCATGAACAGCCTGGGTCTGCATCTTTCTGATATTAAGGCGCCTAGAACTGAATTTCTGTTTCAGGCCTGCTGTCCCCTCAACAGACAGCCCCGCGCCCCCCCCCCCC